CGTCTACCTCCGCTGAACGAGCTAGGAGGCACCGTACGCTCGGGATCGAGCCGGTTTCTCCGCCACGGCAGCGGCATCTCGCCGTCGATCTCCACCACCGGCGCATCCCGGCCTCGCCGAGCTCGTCCACGGCCTCCTCGGGGTGAGCCTCCACCCGTTCCCCCCCTATCTTACTCTCTCCCTGACGCCGTATGTCGCCACCCCCGCGCCTCCCAAGCTCCGGCCGTGGGCCGTGCCTCGCATCACAGCGCCTTGCGCGCCTCGTCGCGCCCTTGGCCGCGACCAGACGCGCGTTAGCTGTCCACTGGCCGCGTCCAACCGCGCGTGCGTGCGCCCTTGCCACCCACTGCTCCCGCGCTCGCCCTGCCGCTTACAGTTCAATAGGACGTAAAGTAAAAATTAATTTTGCAAACCAGCTTTGCTTCCAATTCAGCCAAATCTTCTGACTCTCTGCAATAGAAGTTAGTGAGTTAGTGAAATCGTTCACTAAAATGCCAATCACATAAAGCACGACGCCGATCGAACCGATCACGCGCGCAGCCATTTGATCTGGCGCACCACAACCATTCAAATCAGTCATCCTGATTTGGCCTCCCCTTGACTCTTCTTCTTCCTCCCCTTGACTAATTTATCAGTTTCCATTATTTTTACACCTGTCTCTTCGGTTTCTTTTATTCTTTTTTTTCATTCTACATTTTCGTATACATCAAGAAATTTTTTCTAATAAATGTTTAAAGAATTTCAAGTAAGAGTATACATTTTTATAATACATTGTCAATATTTTTTCCTATACACGTTTTTAAATGCTTGATTAATATAAATGAAATAAAATATTAATATTTTTAATGCATGATCAACTTTTTTCCTATACACATTTTGAAACACTTTAAATACTTTATTAAGATTTTTCAAATATACGATTACCATTTTAATACATGGTCAATATTTTTTCTATACATTATTTTTTTAAATGATTGATTAATACTTTTTTCAAATGCAATATTAACATTTTTAATGCATGGTCAACATTTTTCTTTATACTTTTTTTCAAATACTACCTCTGTTTCTAAATATAAGTCTTTATAAAGATTTCACTATGAACCAAATATGGATGTATATAGATGCATTTTAGAGTGTAGATTCACTCATTTTACTCCGTATGTAGTCTATAGTGAAATCTCTACAAAGACTCTATACACATTTAAAAAAAATACTTGGTTAACTATTTTTGAAATGTTTTTTTTTATTTTTTTATGGAAATGTAAATTAAGTATAAACGAAATTAAAGAAAAATAAATCAAAAAATAAGGCCATGGCCTCCCGCGTGACTTGGCTGGCCCATTTCGTACTGTGTTGTTCTCTTCTGTTCAAGGGCCGGGCCCTCCGCCTCCGGCACCGGCAGACCTCGGCAAACAAGCAGACGGCTCCACCGCCGCCGCCGCCGAGGGTTAGGATTGGGGGGATAATGCTGCGTCTCGTCTCCGGCCAAGCCCGCCCCAACCATGCACACTCTCCCTCTTCCCCCGGTGTGGCGACAGGGCCTCGCTGCCCGGCGGGCCAACTCACACCCCCTCTCGCCGTGGCCGCCGCGAAGTAGACGCCCGGCCGGCGGCGAAGACGCCGAGGTAAGCCATCCAACCGCAGTAGCATACATCCATGCCCTCTTTGTGTTGTTCGTAGGATGTGGGTGACAATATGAACTTACTGAATCTGAACCTGAATAAGCCTGTTTTGTTCTCTGCACCCACGAGCTCGGCCTTTAATTAATTATTAAGCATCCCCCAAAGCGTTGCCCTCTTGATCTGTAAGCTTTGATTACCAGTATTATCCATGGCAAATTATTTGACTCGATTCGATGTTGCTTCTAGTGAAAAAATAAGAAATATCGGTGGAAAGAGATCTTATTTACCTACAGTGGGGACACTTCTGAAGAAAACATTTGCGCATTTTTGTATTTCTTAGCGACCGCCGATCCTGAATAATGAACCAAATTCAGCATCCGGAGTTGCTCATTTTTGTACAGCTTCACCTGCTGCCATCACCAACTATCATCCTTAATTATCCGCAAAGACCCAAAGCTGTCTATTTAATAACAATTTCATGGTGAGTGGAGCGATGGTGTCATTTTATATTAAAGATGCTTCCCTCTGCCTTCCTTGAGCTGGTCATCTTGAGTTGTTCTCAAAAGTTTAGATTAAGAAATCTCAAGGGTTGGTAAGAGCAATTATTGGGTTGGTGAGAGAAGCAAGAGTTTGTCCATCATCATACCAGCTTTTCTCAGAAACTCATCAGGATCGCTGGAGCTTTGTCTGGTTGTTCGGCTGCTTCTTGATGGCTTCAACAACTAGACTAAGCATTCCCCAATCACCAAGCCATGACACTGTTTGGTGATTTCAGTTCCTGAAGCGCACAAGGAGCGAGGAGGTCACCACAGGTCCAAATCTTGCCGGATCTACATCAATTAAAAGCCAGGTGTGTTGACCTTGATTTGGTTTTGTCCTAGTTCTCTTGTCAATGTCCTGGGTAGCTAAGTCGATTCAAAAGAAATAAGCAGTTTTCCTTGCCATTACAAGCCAGGTGTGGTGGTGATTCTCTGGTTTTCACTGGTAAAAGGAACAAGGAGGATTTGAAGATCAAATCCAGCCACTTGTCATCGGTTACAAGCTACCACACTCCGAGTTACTCCCATGTCTCCATAAGGATTCTGGATCTTCACGATTAAGCTTCAGTGACAACAAGACCAGCCAAGCATCAAGTCTCTTCTTTTCAAGATTTCTATGATGGTTTCAGATTCAGAAGCGCAAAAGGTGGTTACCAAGATTAACCTGGGCCTAACCTGCGGCGAGGAAGGTGCGCAAAAGGTGTTTCTTGCAGCTATTTGTTTCTGCACACATCTGAGATATTAGATAGACAGTGAGGAATTTGAGAACTAAGTTACCTGGAACGATCACATTAGCGAACCATCCGAAAGCAGAGTACTCATATTGGCGAGCTAACCGGTGTGTCAGGTTAGTTCCCTCTTTGCTTTACTAGGTTAAATGTTCAAACCTTTGTGGCATTTTAAGTGAGATGTCCCTATACAGAAGCGGTGCATCTATGAAAGGTCATTTCCATGTCGCTCGTTCTTGTCAGTTAATAAAATTAAGTTTGCTACAGTTGACTACTTGACTGCAGTACCCAAGTGTTTTGATATTCTCATGGAGCTGCCTGTTCTAGATTTTGTTTTGGTTAATTATATGGGCTATAGTTAGATATAGGTTAACCTATGGAATTAGAGTTTATTTAGCATGAGTACTTCGAGATATTCTTCATGACAAAAACACATATGTTGTTTTTGGCAGCTGGATTAACAATTCTAGCAATTTCTTTCTCTATAGATCTGGCGATATTATTACATAGATAGATCTGGCGGTATTATTACATAGATATTAAAGAAATTGTGGAACTAAGTTACCTAGAACTGCCACATTAGTCAATTATTTAAAAAATAGAATATTCATATTGGCAAGCTCGTAGCTGTGTCAAATTGGTCCCATTTTGTCTTTTATTTGCTTCAAATTTCAATATTTGGGGGCCTTTTAAGCTGAGATGTCCCTATATGGAAGCGGAGCATGCATGGTCAGTTATTTAGTGTCCCTCATTTTTTCCGGTCAATAACATTAAGTTTATCACATTTGACTCTAGCACAGTCTCAAGTGCTTCAGAATTATCATCGACCTACCTGTCATAAGTACTATTTTGTTTGATTACAACATTATGTAAGTTAGAGTTAGATAAGTTAATTGTGAAATCTTTATGAGGATTACTTTGGCATTGTGGTTTATGAGGATTACATTGAGAGAAGATGTGTATTTCACCTTTCCATTGTGGTTTGAGAGTTTTGAAATATTTCCGCAAGTGCTTGTTATTAGCGCAATGCATTAATAGTCAAGTTAATACATCACTTCATCTTGCAGTGGCCGTTGCAATGGTATTGTGGAGAATATACAACTAGACCACCACGAAATAGTGAAATATTAGCAATTCTCGGAAAATAATGGCGGAGATTGTGATTTTTCTGACCATTAAGAAGATTGGAGTAGCCTTGGTGACTAGAGTGGTAGACCAGGCAAGCACACAGTTTGCGAAGAACAGGACACAACTGCTAGAGCTACAGGGCAACATGGGCCGTGTTGCCAGTGAGCTTCACATAATGCATGATGTTCTGTGTCAAATGGGCATACAAAACCGTAACAATCAAGTGTATGAGGGCTGGTTGGAGGAGGCGAGGAAAGTAGCACATGTGATGGAGGATGTAGTGGATGAGTACTTGTGTCTAGTTGGTCGGGAACATGATATAGGTTGTTGCTTTTTCCTGAAGAAAGGGTGCAAAAAGCCAAGATCTATGCTTTCTTTGAACCGGATAGCTTTCAAGGTGAAGGAAATAGAGAAAGACCTTTCACACTTGTCCGAGGCAAAAAACCGTTGGGTTCCCGTGACAATTAATGGGGATACTAGCAACTTGAATTATATTGTCAAGAGGTCCAAAGACCTAGCAAACTTCTCGCGTTCCCTTGATGAAGATCTAGTGGGAGTCGATAAAAACAGAGAAAGACTTGAACAGTGGTTGGCAGGTGATGATTTGAAATGCTCGGTGATTGCGCTGCTTGGAATGGGAGGGCTCGGTAAAACAGCTTTAGCTGCAAATGTGTACAAGAAGGAGAGAGAGAAATTCCAGTGCCACGCTTGGGTCTCCATCTCTCAAACGTATTCTAGAGAGGATGTCTTAAGGAATATAAGTAAGGAACTTTCCAAAGATAATAAAACCAACATTCTGTCAAACACTGCAGATATGGACATCACATGCCTTGAAGAGACATTGAAGAAGTTTCTAGAACAACATAAGTATTTAATCATATTGGATGATATTTGGACTCCAGAAGCATTTGATGAAATATCTAGGGTGCTTGTTCATAATGATAAGGGCAGTAGACTAATAATCACAACAAGAGAAGGCGATGTTGCTGCACTGGCCTCTCGAGGACACATCTTAACATTGGAAGCTTTACCAGAAGACAAGGCATGGGATCTCTTTTGTAAGAAAGCCTTTCCAAGAGATACAAATCATGAATGTCCCGTGGAGTTGAAGTCTTGGTCTGAGGAAATAGTTAGCAAGTGCAAAGGCTTGCCTCTTGTTATTGTGTTAGTTGGTAGCCTTTTGCGTGTGCGTGAGAAAACCGTGGAAGAATGGAGAATAATAAATGGTCAGTTGAGTTGGGAGCTAAATAATAATTCGAGGCTCGATCAGATAAGGAATGTTTTGCATCTAAGCTTCATCTACCTTCCAACACACTTGAAAAGTTGTTTCTTGTACTGCAGCTTATTTCCAGAAGACCATCTTCTCAAAAGGAAGGAACTTGTAAGGTTATGGGTAGCGGAGGGGTTCATTGAGGGAAGGGGTGAAAGCACATTAGAAGAAGTGGCAGAATGCTATTTGAAGGAGTTGATTGATAGGAACATGTTACAACTTGTTGAGAGGAACTCGTTTGGTAGGATTAAAGAATTCAGAATGCACGATATCTTACGTGAATTGGCAGTTGACTTGTGCAAGAAGAACCGTTTTGGTGTTACATATGAGGATAATTGTGGGGGTTCTCTTGAGACGGATGGACGACGATTGGTAATGCACAAACTAAATAAGGATGTTCAACAGTCATTTTCTAGTATACACCAACTTCGAACTTTCATTACACTAGACAGTAGCATGCTATCATCCACTCTACTACCTCTGCTATGTAAGGAGTCAAGATACATGACAGTACTAGAATTAAGTGGTCTACACATTGAGAAGATTCCAGATGCTATTGGTGATCTTTTTAATCTCCGCCATTTGGGTTTGCGTAATACAAAAGTGAAGATGCTCCCAAAGTCTGTTGAGAAGCTTTCAAATTTGTTGACGTTGGACCTTTCTCGATCTGATATACATGAGTTGCCTAGTGGGATTGTGAAACTGAAGAAGCTTAGGCACTTATTAGCTGAGAAAACAATTGATCCATATTGGAGAGGGTTGCAATGTTGTCGTGGTGTGCGTGTTCCTAATGGTCTTGGGAATCTAATAAATTTGCAGACGCTGCAAGCATTGGAATTACAGGATGAGTCTCTTAGACATTTAGGGGTGTTGAGGCAACTAAGAAGCTTGAGGTTATGGAATGTGAAGGGAATCTGCAGTGCACGCATCAGTGAGTCTTTGTTTCAGATGCAATCTTTGTCCGACTTATCCGTGAGTGCAAGTGATGAAAACGAGGTTCTATTGTTGAATGTCCTCCTGCCAAACCTGCAAAAGCTATGTTTGAGGGGCCGACTAGCGGAAGGGGCATTGGAGGAGTCTCCTCTCTTGCAAGCTGCTGGGGGCAAGAACCTGCATGAATTGGTTCTATCTTGGTCACAGTTGAGAGAAGACCCTCTGCCATCTCTTTCTCACCTGTCAAACTTGACATTTCTAGATTTCACCAGAGCATATACCGGAGAGCAGCTGGCATTTTTCACGGGGTGGTTTCCGAAGCTAAAGATTCTCTATCTAATAGATCTGCCTAATCTGAATCAGCTACAGATACAACAAGGTGCCATGGCAAGCCTGGAAAGATTATACTTAATCAACCTCAGCAGCTTGATGGAGGTCCCACCTGGCATTGAGTTCCTTATGCCCCTGCAGCGTCTAGTTTTTTATGAAATCAGCAGCGAATTCTTGATGCTGTTGCGCCAATTTTCTGCAATTGATGGGACACAATGGCAGCATACTCTCCGTCGTTGACGTGCCACAGTGGTCGGCAATGTGTACGTAGTATCACTACTCTGGTTTCCTCATCTCTAATCGTACAACTTTTAAAATGTTGGTATATTGTTGGTTATGTAGGTCACCTGCTGGAAGGAAGAAAGAAGCTTCATTACGTGTACAACCAGTGTTTCCTCTGTTGCTGATCTACTATACCGTCCGGGTTTTCTCTGATGTTTCAAGATGCACTATGGCACCCTTGCTGCTACTTCCACCTCCACCTACAACTGCCTCCTGCTACTATTGGTGTTGGTGTGCTTTTGCTTGTCATAATATTTCCCTATCGATTGTTTCAAGCTGTGGCTTTTAAAACGCTTATTGTAAGACTGAGACTGGGTCCTGTTTGCATATTCAGGATACTTCTATTTTGCATGACCTGTTTGTATTTGTGTGTGCTAGTTGTGAACTCCTCCCTCCGTTCACAAATCGGATGTATATATTATAGATTTATAGACACGTTTTAGTGTGTTTGTCCACTCATTTCAGTCCATATGTAGTCCACATTGAAATACCCAAAAACATCTTATATTTGTGAACAGAGGGAGTATCTATGTTGTTGCCTATTTCAGTTGTGGTTGTTAAATACTACTCGTGTTGTGATTCATAATGCTCAGATATTTATTTCCTTTTCACAGAGTTGGCTTGTGATTCATAAATGGTATCGATCAGCGCGTTGTCATTGTTCTGTTTTATATGTGTTGTTTCTTTTTCAGATTGTGCTCCTTATTGTATTAGGGTGCAGAGCAGGATCACTTGTTAATGCTAGAATATTGTCTTCTGGCGTGGTTTTTATATACCTCTCACTGTTCATATTCATTGTTTAGCTTTCTAGTTCAGGTTTAAGTGGGACGCTCCGAGGGAGGCCCGCGTGACCGCATCAGCCCCGCATCTGCCGCGTAGATTAAGTGGATACCCATCAAAGTCCACATGATCATGCACGGATGCATCTTGTGGGTGTCTGTCATGGTAACAAACCCAACACTTTGGGCCTTGTTGTCCAGCAGGTGGCTTAGAGTTGTCATGAGAGTCTCATTGCTGAAGCCACCTTGCTCCTTGGTTTCGCTCTATAACAGTAATCACACCGGGAGTCCGGGACACAAAGTCATTCGAGCCGAGCTGTACGCCACATGGATTTGTAATCGTAACGGGAAGCGGCTTTAAATCTATATCTATATCTAATAATAAAGACGCTATTGCTTCTTGCGGTACTTCATAAAAATTTCCCTCAAAGTTATAAAATATTACCCATCAATACCACGTATAAGTCATAAAGAAAATTCCACACAAGGACCTCCTATACTGTGTTCTGAACGCTGGCAGAAAACGCAGCACGCCTGTTTGGGCTGGTCCATATCCAGGCGGCATGTTTTCAAATTTCGCTTTTTATTAATTTTTTATTTTTCTTTCTACTTTAAATAATTTAGGTCTTCAAAAAGTTCCGAAAAAATATAAAATAAAATTTTGAAATAAAATGTGTAGTAAACCATTAAATAATTGTGGATTCAAAAAATGTTCGCAATTTTACGAAGAAAGTTGGCCCATTCAAAATATGTTCGAAGTTGTGAAAACAAATTTTCGGATAATCAAAAAATGTTCATGATTTTTGAGAAAGTATGTGTATTAAAAAAAGTTAGTCAAATTGAACAAAAATTTTCCAATTCAAAAACAATTCATGAACGGAAAAATATCCTGAAAATTCAAGAACTGCTCGTGACTTATAAAATAGTTTATTCATTCATAAAATGTTTGCTGATTCAAAAGATGATTACGCATTTCATAAAATGTTTGTTAAATAAAAGAAAAAAATTACATCAAAAAATCGTTAAATCAAAAAAAATTGTGAATTTCAAAAATTATTCCACAAATTTCCAAAACAACGTTCATCCATTCTAGAAATGTTCGCCGATTCGAGAAAATTGTAGAAAAATGTTCTCAATTTTTTAAAAGAAGGTTTGCAAATAGTATAAATTTTTGATGAAATCAGAAAATGTTCTTCATTGTAGAAAATGTTTAAAAATTTGTAAAAAAATCATAAATTTAAAAAATATTCATGGTTTTAAATATTTCCATGAGTTTAGAAAAATATTCATGATTTCACGAAATTGAGAGTAATAGTGTATCCTTGTCGCGGCTTCCCACCGCCTCCCGCTCTCCTTCGCCGAGGCGGCTGCGGCCGCCGATCTCGTGGCCCGCTTGTCCCTTCCTCTCTTCAACTACTCTGTCGCGCTCGAACGCATTGTGCGCTGCTCCTACCCGCTCTCCACCACCGGGAGATGGAGGTGATCCTCTACCAGGCCCGGTTCCTCCTCTGTTGCGCCTGCAGGTGGTCCCTCGTTGTCGGCCGGCTCCCGCTCATCGCGGCCGCGATCGCCTTGGCCAGCGAGCTGAACGGGATGACCCATGTTTCCACAAAAGACGTCGCACGGGACATGTGTGCGGCCATGCCCGCGCGCACCACCAGTCGCCGGTACGATGGGCTCGTTGACATGCTGGTTCGTGTTGAGTGGGAGTTACTCCCGTTGGATGCCGAAGTCCACGCCGGAAACCTGCTCTGGACACCCCCATGCTGTTTCGGCTCATCCAGTCCGACCCGTCCGATCAGTTTCTGAAGAGCTTCACGCTGGACTCAGCCGGTATTGAGCAATCTACCCGTGAGGTTGTTCCCCCGTAGTGGCGGAGCCAGGATTGAAGCAAAGCCCGGGCACACAAAAAATCGGCAACAAGGAAAAGCTTTGGCACTTTTAAGTACCCAAAAAACACATCATGACATTAAAAAGGATCATATGCAATAACAAACAAAATAAATCTCAATTGTTCAATAAATCTAGAAGTCAATCTTAGTGCTTAACAATCCAACAGAAGAGACAAAACATGATAAAACTATAAATAATACGGAGATATAAAAGAGTACCAAATCAGTTGTTTATTTCATTTGTGCCTCCCGTAACATGATCAACAGCAGAAGAAAAGCAACACCTTCAAGACATCAAACATGTAATCTCATAAGAAAAGGCATAAACATAGTGAAATAATGATGATTAAACTAAATCTAAAAACTTTCCACTACGAGGAGGTAAAAACCCTCTACAATCCCTATAGGCTTGAAAGTGATATAAAATATCATCATCAGGAATACTTGCAAATACATCTCGCTCAATATAGTACGTCGTGTTATAATTGAGCCAATCACCACCCATCTTATTCCTCAACTCGGTCTTCATAATACTCATAGCTTAGAAAGCTCTTTGCACTTATGCGGTTGCAATCGGCAAAATCAATGCCAACTCTATGAGTCCATATACCAAAGAAAAAATAGTGTGTCTACCAGTCTGAACCATCTTCACAGCAAGATTACCAAGGTCATTACAACATTCAAAATCTAGATCAGCTCTCACAACAGCAACGAACGTTTCAAGTTGGTTTCTAAGGACAAAGGAAATCTCATATATGGAGAAGTCATCATCATACAACTCAGCAAGTTCAACAAGTTTATCCTCATCAAAATTAGCAAATGAGTTCCTTGGATCAAGACAAGCAATGCATCTCAACAATTGAGTAGATCTTTCGGTAAAACGATTATTTAACTCAACAATAATTTGGTCATGCACAACATTGAATATTTCATATCTCAAGCGGTGATAGTAAGTTACCATTTGACCACCGGGCCCCTTGAACGACCTCGAGCTGGAATCCCCCGGACGTCGATGTCAATGATCAGGATCTCAAGAACTCCATCTTGAAGAGGCTTTCTCAGCTCAAGCAACTCATGAAGGCTGGTAAAGCTGCCAGCCGAATGAAGCAGTGGAGGGCATGGCTGGAGCTGGAGCCATGGATGGATTCGCTGGATGAGGGTGGTGGCTGGACCAGGCTTGAGGAGGAGGTGGCAGATATCGGCATCCCTCCTCCGTCGTTCACTGCCGGATTGCTTCAGCTGCAGAAGCAGAGGAGAGAAGGGATCGAAGCCACCAAGCGATGTCGAATCGATGCTCCTGACTCTGGGAAGAAGAAACGGAAAAGGCCAGGCCCATGTTGTAATGGTATTAGCATTGACTGGGAAGATTGTGGGATGGAGCTCCTGCTATTGCATGGCGCAAACGAGGCAGAGCTTGAACAAGGCCGGTACAGAAGATTGCTGGAGTCGCATGTCTTCAGTGCAGTCATTGGATACAGATGAAACAACAACTTGGCGGTGCACATTTCTGCAAGAGAAATTTTGCACTCTTGGCAATATTTTGTGGAGTTCAGTCAAGCTGAGCACGTGAAGAACATACTGTTTGTGGTAGGGAAATGCTAATAATACACTGTAGGCTTTCTGTTTTCTCCTAGTAGCACTAAAAAACAGAGTAATCAAACTAGCTGGCTTTTAGTTAATCTTGAGTAGGGTTTGAAACTTTTGAAGTTTATTGAATATTCAAATGAGAGGGAATAAAAGGATTTTCCCAAATATTCATTTGGATCTTATTTGCATTTTTCATTTAAAACAAATCCAACTAAAAATTAAAACCAACCGAGAGAAAGTAATATGACTCCTTCAACATAAAACGAGTTGGGAGAATGTTTTAAATATTAATTCCACATTTATTTCGAGTTGAAAATATTTTGGAAATTATTTTAGGACCCTAAATTCAATTTTAGGAACCTCCAAATAGTATTTATGAAATAATTGTATGTATTTCGTTTAATATTTGGGGTGGAAATACTTGTCCTAAGCTCTAAATATTATTTTAGATCTATTTGGATTTTTGTAGATTTTATTTTTCAAAATAGAATTGGATTGATTCAATAGTAAAAATCCAATTCAAAAGTTCAAAATACAATAGGAAGTAATTAATATTGTTTGCAGCGAATCATAGGCCTTGTTTTGTTATCCAACTAGGCCCAGCCAAATCGCGAGAGCTATATCTCGATTACAGCGAGATGGTTTCGCTCGTTGTAGGTTCACTCTGCTCCAATTTTCTTTGGGTTTTCTTTCTTATTTTCTTTTTCATTTGTTTATTCTCTCCTTTTTGTTTTATCATCGGTTTTCTTTGGTTTTTCTTTTTCATCGATATGACTTATGGTTTCTTTCGTTTACACTGGTTATCTTTGTTTTTCTCGATCTTTATTGGTGTTTTTTTTATCATTCTATGTTTATACGCTTTTCTTTGGGTTGTCTTTCTTTCTACGTTTTTCATTGATGTTTTTTGTTTTTACTCTTTCTTTTTCACCGGTTTTCTTTATTTTTCTTGCTTTCTTTCTTTTTATGTGTGTTTTCTTTATGTTTTTCCATCGGTTGTAGAACCTTTTTGATTGATTTTTTTGTTTTCTATGTCTTGTTTTCACCGGTTTTCCTTTGTTTTCTCTTTACATTCTTCATGTACATGTGAAAATAAATTGTACTTCCTCTATCCCATAATATAAGAACGTTTTTAACACTACACTTGTGTCAAAATGCTCTTATATTATGGGACGGAGGGAGTACTATATATATTAAACATTTTAAAATATACAAGTAATATTATTTTTAAATGTTTTTGATGTCTTCATTTTCATATACATCAAAATACTATACATGTTTAAAACTGTGTTAATACATGATTAGAATTTTTAAATACAATGACTAACATTGAATTAAAACATGTTAGATGTCTCCTTTTTCATAAACATTGTACATTTTTCATATACATCTGAAAAATGTATTTGCTATGCATTTAACATTTTGAAAATACATAATTATCATTTTTTTCATAATGTCACATACATCTTTTTGAAACGCATGAACATTTTACTTTCTTTTGTATGCTTTCAATAATGTTCATATACATTTGAAACATTTAATTTATATACGCTTAAATTTTTCTCAAATACTTGCCTTCTAATAATTTCAAGAAACATCTGAACATTTTTTGAAATGTCACAATTTTTTCATTAATATGCTACTAACATTTTAGAATTAAGCTAAAAAAAATACACTGATTTAACTTTTATTAAATTCACAATTTTAATTTAATATTTGTTTTATGATCTGAATATATGTATTTACATTATTTCAAAAATAACAATAAGAGAAAAAAAAACTAACAAAGAACAAAGGAGAAACGGGAGAAAAGACGAACTTACTTGGAACCTACCTGTGTCGGCTCATTCGCGAATGAGGCAGAGCTTGAACAAGGCCAGTACAGAAGATTGCTGGAGTTGCATGTCTTCGGTGCAGTCAGTCGATACAGATAAAACAACTTTGCGGCGCAGCGTCTTCACGGACTTGCGTCGATCCTGAACATGTACATTTTCTGTTAGAGAAATTCTGCGCTTTTTGTGATAGCTGCATCTCGTGAGTGCAGTTAGTGGAAACTTTGTGGTGCAGCATCTTCAGTCTTGATCATGGAACTTGCTTCCAAAACATCGGTCGTTGACCAGGCTTCGACTGGCCGTTTGGATCGCCTCCAAAATATTGGTGCGCCGGCCGGCCTCAGCTTCCTCCGCTGCCCTTACGCCAAATCGTTGGCAGAAACGCAGGCGGCCGAATCCCTCGCCAACATTTTGGCGTGCCAAAGGCGCCCAGGATTTGGCAGGGCGGACGTGGGAACAAACCAAACAGCCCCTCAATTGCCATTGTTGTTGGCACAAATCATTGATAGTTTAATTAATACAGTGCATTACCTCTTCATTTTATAGTGGCCATTCCAATGGTGATGGGAACTAAATGTTTTGGCAAGTGATTTGTAGTAGCAGAATTCACTAGAAGTTTAATTGACGCGTCACTTGCCAACTTCTTAGTGGTCATTCTGATAATATTGATTGACTATAGAATATACAACTAGGCCACCATCCAACAGTCAGACATTAGCAATTTTTCTCAGAAACTAATGGTGGAGATTGTGATTCTTTTAGCCATTAAAAAGATCTGAAGTGGGTAGAAACAAAAGGATTTGAGGTGGCTTTACAATGGTCTGAGAAGGCTTTAGATTGCTTACGGTGAAGAAGAATCCAGGACAAGAATAGCTCAGCTCTTGTACTTGCAGCTCTTTAGACCATGTTCCACCATGAAAATTAGGGTGTGAATGTACAAGTGCATAAATAATATGGATCTTTCAAGGGCAAATAATCCAACTCAACACTACTCATCGCCTTTCAAGATTCAGTGCCAAATCCCTGCAGTTCACATGCGTACCGCGAGCAAGAGAATTCTACAGCAGTTTTTTACTGAATATTTCCAGGTTTCAGGACCAACAGGAAAGCCATCAGTAGAGATTTCAGTAACATCAAGTTATTTATGAGTGGCAAGCCAAGTGTTACAATGATGTGTTGACTAAACTAATGAATCGCCGTCCGGTTTGTTGTGGACGGCTGGGCTTTCGTCGCCATCACCCATCAAATAAGGTAAGCTTGGTAACTACTCCAGGAGGCTGCCAGAGTCGTGCCAAAGTTCCCGGGGAAATTACAATTGCCCTTCTGGTCCTGACAGCAAGGACATGATGCCGAACAACAGGAATAGCACCCCGCTCGACAATTCGACCTGAAACGAGATAAGCATCGCATTAGGTAGATGTGAAGGCATTTGAGTTGTTCAGAGGGAGCACGCGAAACAGGCTTCGGACAGCGGTTCTTACCATCTTCTCGGATATCTGAGAGGCCAGGCTCTTCCCTCCCATCACGGCAGCGGTAGTGCAGAGTGCTTGAGCTCTGAGCACAATACAGGAGGGGTTTTGTCAGCAACACAGAGTGAACCATTTCTAAAGACAGTACAAAAGAAGCGGCCCTCACATGACTCCCCCGATGACAACACCAAATGGGTTTTCGTCAGCAGCCAAGCCAATCGTAGCAATCTGAGAAGCAAAAGGGTAAGGAGTATACCAGATCATCTAACAATAACATCAAAGTTGCTTTGGAAGGGGGCGAATAGAGAAGTCCCTTTGTGCAACTTACCTGGCTCTTGTCACCCCACTCACCAAAGAAAGTGATGGAAAATGCCTACAGCACACAAATGAATGGGCATGTAAATGTCAAGATGGAACCACAAGCACCATAACTGTCTGTCATTTCCATAGATCAGTAGTTGTCTAGTTGATACCTTTATAAAGATTGGCGAGAAGAACTGCATGAGAAATGGCCTTTGCTTTTTCTTTGTATCTTCAGTTGCCTAATATGTGAAGAATATTTGAGTTGCACGTCCAGGTAAACATACAAAGAAGAATTAATATGTGATGCTCCGCGAGCTCATATTAAAAACCAGCAAGGCCCAAAAGAGGTCTGGAGCATGTGCTCCGGACGCAAAGCCGCAAACAAACAAAATTCTCGTTCTTTAAAAATTCTCACGTGTTGATGACTGAGTATTTATTATGCACTAGTTTCAAGTTTAGTGCAAACTTATGGATTCTTGTGGCCTGTGCAGAAAAAACAAACTTTAACACCCGAAAAAGCTTATCTTAGCTCCTCAATCTTGTCTTTATCATCATGCAAACTACAATTGACACATTTCACACAAGATCTTCCAGATATACAGTTAATTCTAGTACCTACATGCAATATGCGAGGGAAAAAAAATTGGATCTTCTGAACTAAAGAGAGAACATAGCCCAGGTGCACAAAATACACGTCCAAAGAAAGGATAGTAACTTGTCAGAAAGAAAGAGAGTGTAGTAAAAAAGCGACTTTCCACTCACCCCTCAGTAAGCAGGTTCTCAAAACTGTGTTTCTGCCAAAATAAAAGTAATAGTCCACACAAATAACGAAAAGGGATATACATGGAGGTGGAATTTTCATTTAGTATTTTTTACCAATATTACATGAAAATCATATACTTGGTATAACTTGGGGCAAGCAACAACAATTGAATTCGCACATTAGCATTGCCAATGTATAACATTTCCCAAGATAAATGAGAATATCTGGAGACCAGAAGTCATTCTTCTGACTGTTAAAGGGGGAAAAGTGTTTTGCATTTTATCTCATGACATCTAAATTTTGAGTGTTTAAATGGAGAAGGCCACAAAAATTTGCCAACATTCTGATATAAGGAAATGATGATCTGAATGGGCATGTCACACATGCGCTGAGCCACTGACCTTTGATTTATTTTTCGATTCCCCTTTGTTACTCTTAAAGTCCGCATCCTGAAAATTTGGCAGAAGTTGGCTATAAGCTACTTGGCCTAGAGTTCAATAGGACGTAAGGTAAGAACTAAATTTGCAAACCAGCTTTGCTTCCAATTCAGCCAAATCTTCTGACTCTCTGCAATAGAAGTTAGTGAGTTAGTGAAATCGTTCACTAAAATGCCAATCACATAAAGCAAGTACATAGTTTCACTAACTAAAAAGCAAGTACATAGTTTCACTAACTAAAAAGCAAGCAATCAAGCAAGATCAATACCCTTCTTCTTTGAAGCCTTCCCACAATGACCAGATGCCGAACACAAAGAACAGCAGAGTGGTGATATGGTGAGTCCATTTACGTGATATCTGTTTGGGAAAAAAATACCGTTAACTGTGTTTTCTTGCAAGGTAACACTTTAAGCAGAAAATTTTGGCCTATCATCAGCACAACAAGACAATTGACAGAACAGGGCTGGTGGTAATAATCCACCAGGAGGTTCAGAAGAGGCCCACCATTGGTTCAGCTAATACACGTACGAGGATTGTAACAATTATCATTGCAAGATTTATGTAAAGCTGTAATCAGGAGTTCAGGACAAGGTTTATAAATGTGATTCTCCATGTTGAAATGAAAAACAAACACACTTCCACCAAGTATTAACATTGGATATTTCAAGAGCTTAGCATAATTTCAAAATAATAAATTCCTCAAAAATGGATTGCTCTTTTCTGCTTGCTTGCTTGATGTTCAGATACTAGGCACCACCACAGTGCCAAAGCGACTATTACAGAACGTAGGTAGCGTACGCTTGTGCCTTTGGATATATCAGGGTGACAAGCAACGAAAACATACCAGGTTTGGTGCAACCCAGCCTAGAGAAGCAGATAAAGCCGTCATCACCTAGAATTTTGAACTCGGTCAGTCAAGCAGAAAATAACAGGCCATTACATTATGTTAGATCATGTTTGAAAAATCTCACTGTTAATGCCGATAGACAGCCAGCGAGGACGAGCTTCCGGGGATGGCGCATGGCCAGAATCTTGCACAAGTAAATGGAAAACATGATAAGCCCGCCAAATATAAACGAAAAACACAAGCAACAGAAACAGAGCAGAGTAAAAAAAAAAACGGAATCCATGTCGAAGTGGGGAATGATTATCGGCGTATCACTAAAGAGGAATATGTTTGTCCTGCTACTCCAGACCCTGTGAAACCCATCAATCATTCTGTAAACAGAAATCACTGCAGCTACGATGCTTCTAAAGGTTTACCCTGGTGGTGAAACAGTTTTCGGTGGGAAAGGACGGGGCAGCATGCATCTGACCCAAAACTAGCAAGAGTCCAACGCAAGTGGAGAACCCAACCCAGCTGGTGTGGGTAGCAGAATCGGGAAGCGCAGCGAGCAGCCCCGGAGTCAATCAAAACAAACAAAAGGACAAGAGACGCCTCTTTATGCGTGTAAACCATGTGCGTGCGGCAAGCTGAAGGTAGTAGTAGCAGTAGCAGGCTGATTCATCATCCAAGAAAACTGCCGATTTCCACTAATAGAGGAGCAGAGAACCGAGCTGGTACTAATCCTCTGCTTTTTTTTCTCAAGTCAAGTGGAAAAAGGAGGGAGCAGATGAGATGAGCCGAGCTGCTGCTGTTAATCTCAGCTAAGATCTACTAGTTGTTGGCGAGCTGATTCCGGCTAATAATCCAGGAATTGGGTCAGCGCTTGGCCGGAAACTGGAATCTGCCGCTGCCGCCGACTGGCTCGCCCCTCCCCTGGTCCCCTGGCCCGGCCTGTGTCCGCCGGCTGTGGCAGGCATATCGTCGAACAGCCTGCTCGCGCAGGAAATTGCGGGAGTCGCCGAGAGAACTGGAACTCGTTAGCTGGTTAGTGGGGAGGGGAGGGGAGGGGAGGGGAGGTGGGGTGGGTTACCGCGGCGGCGAAGAAGGTCTTGTCGCCGACCTCGGAGAGCACGGTCATGGCCAGCGACTTGGTGAGCCCCTGCAGCAGGAAGGGTCCAAAAAAAGAGATGAGTCAATTCAACCTCCAGCTCCACCTGCGCTGCGCACCGAGAGAGACGAGAGAGCGAGGGAGGGAGCTGACCCCGAGCAGAGACGGCGACATGGCGGCGGCGGAGGCGGACGGGGGGCGCCGATTCCGATCTCGGGGGGTGAGGAGAGGGAGGATGTGCGCGTGCGGCGTGGGCTCGGGAGGGACGGAGGCAGTGATAAAAAGAGGCGGACGGGGTCTGCTTTCGTGCGCGGCTGGCTGGGCTGCGGCGTCAACTCACGGTTGGCTCCCTCTCTCAAAACAAATGGAAAATAAAAACGGATGGTTGGCATATGGCGGGCGCATTTGTGCTCGCACAAAATGCTTATGCCGAGCTCATCCATCTCCTTTCTTTTCTTTTTCTCCGGGGTTCATTCCATTTTATTTTATACGTGAAAACTTTTGATATATTCATCATCAATCACGGCAGTACAATGAGCACAGGAGATAATAAAAATCACATCCAGATCTGTGGAGCACCTACCGTCGGCTACGAGCACGAAAGCGCGTCGAAGGCGCGCCGCCGTCATCGCCCCTTCCTCGCCGGGGCCGGGCAAGACTTGTTGTAGTAAGCAGTAGCAAAGTCGTGGTACTAAGAAGACCTCATAGGACCACTGCACCGGAACAATAATCGCCACCGCCAATGAAGGAGTATAGATCAGAAGGATCCCAACCTGAAGACACACTGACGTAGACGAGGCAAATTTAACAAATTTGACCTATAGACGAAATTAAATCACAGAATGAACTGTCCGTGAAACTATTTCACGCGGCTGACCCGTGGCGCCTAGCTCACAGGCGCTGCACTAGTGCAACGCCTAGGAGCTAGGCGCTACACTGTAGAGTGTGGCGCCTAGCTCTCAGGCGCTGCACACGACTTAGTAATTTTCTGATCACACGTGTGCTACGCTGGCCGTGTAGCGCCTATCTGTGAGGCGTTGCACAGTGTAGTGTGGCCGCTTTGTGTCGGACGTCACACAAAAAAGTCAGCCGCGTGAAATAGTTTCACAGATAGTTCATTCTATGATTTGATTCCGTCTATAGGTCAAATTTGTTAAATTTGCCCGTAGACGAATGAAACTGGATCCGAGCAGATCCACTAAAGACAACCACCGACCGAATTCTACGGGATCCGCCGGGTGCACACCTTGACACGCCCTTCAACGATGTCGGACGCGCCACCGACATGTGGGGCTAGACAGAGAACTTTATTTCATTTTTTAACCAGCCGCCGCCGTCGTCTCGTCTTCTTGAACAGGACACAAGACCTTACCAAAATTCAAAGAAACATAAAAAACCAAAAACCCTTCAGCCAGCAAGAGTTGAGATCCACCGCGCACTCATGACCCGCAAACTACAGGAGACAGATTAGATCGACGACGGAAGGCATAAACTCTAGCCGCCTCTTCGCTTGGAGTTGGAGGAGAGGCGAAGGGGCAAGTCGGGCGGGAGTTATTTTATTATTTCAGTTCCATATATACGCTCCCGGCCATATGGACCGTTTCTCTCCCCCCAACAACAGCATCTGTGCTCCTGCCTTCCGGGTTTTTTCTACTCTCTCACGTTAATGATTGAGATCTAAGCTAACTTCCTAGCTAGGGTGGCAAACAGAAAAGAAAAAACGTAATATGATAGAGACGAAAGCATCCAAAACACAAGATCTTAGAGCATCTACGGCAGCATATAACAAATATGATCCCTCAAACACCTGACCAGATACTTCTCAAATTAACATAAGTGCATCCGGACATCTCATAGTAGATTCTCAAATTCATACAAAAGCATGCAAACTAAAAAAAACTACGTACTACGTAGATGATCTAGCTACTCCTCGTCGGAGATGTCGACGATCTCCGTGACTGGCTCTAGATACATGGGCGGCAGCTGCAGCTCCGGCTGCTCTGCTCCGGCCTCCTCCTACTCCTCTATCTCCGTATCGAGTTTCGCGAAGAGCGCGTCGGACGCCGCCTACTCCTGTCGGAGGAACCGCCAGTTGGCCTCAACATAGGCCTCATCCTGGATGGACTCCAAGACGGTCTACTGCTCCGCCATCTCCGCGGCTTGGGTGGCGGCGAACTCCGCCTCCACCTCCGCCATGTTGAACCCCGGAGCAGGCTGCTCCACCTCCTTCTCCTCCGGATCCGCCACCTTCATCGGCTCCCGTAGCTGCTCTCCCTCCTCCTTCTCCAGCTACTCCTCCTCCTCGGGCTGCTGCTGCTCCTCCTCCTCCTCCTCCTCTTCCGGCTCCGGCCAGTCCGGAGGCAGCCTGACAACGACTCGGGCGACGCGCCTCGCCTAGATCTCCTCCACGATCTGCCTCTGGTGTTTTGGCGTCAGCATGGCGTAGAAGTGGGGGATGGCGCATGTTCTGCTTTGGTGCGCGGCTGGGCTGCGGCGTCAACTCATGGTTGGCTCCCTCTTTCAAACAAAAGGAAAATAAAACTCATGGTTGGTATGCATATGGCGCGCACATTTGTGCTCGCACGGAATGCTTATGCCAAGCTCATCCATCTCCTTTCTTTCTTTTCTCGGGGTTCATTTTATTTTATTCAAAAAAACCGATTTATTCAACATCAATCATGGTAGTACAACGAACACGGAAAATAAAAAAAAAACTACACATCAGATCTGTAGACCACCTAGCGATGACTACGAGCATTGAATCGAGCCAAAAGTGCGCCCCTCCCTCGCCAGAGCCGGGCAAAACTTGTTGTTGTGGACAGTTGAAAACTCAACGTGCTAAGCCTCATAGCACCAAGCGCAAAGCCGTCGTGCTAAGGCCTCATAGCGCCAAGCGCAGCGGAACTGCAATTGTCGCCGATGAAGAGAAACATACATCAAAAGGATCCCAACCGAAGACACACTACCGTAGACGAATGAAACCGGATCCGAGCGGATCCACCAAAGACGACCACCCACCAAGTTATGCGAAATCCGCCGAAGACACACCTTGACACACGCCTTCTGACGACGTTAGACGCACCACCAGCACGAGGGTTAGACAAGAAGAACTTTGTTCCAACTTCAAGAAGCCGCTAACTACTCGTCTTCTTGAATAGGACACATAAAAGAAGAAAAACCTCCCGCCGCCAAGGGCAGGAATCCACTGCACGCCCATGGCCCTGAGCCTACAGAGACAATATAGATTGGTGGCGAAAGGCATAAACTCTAGCCGCCTGTTCGCCTGGAGGAGAGGCGAAGGGGCAAGTCTCACGTTAACGGTTGAGATCTACTCCGCTAGCTCGCTAGGGTGGGGGCAAAAGAAAAGAGAAAAAACGTAGTAATAATATGATAGGGCACGAAAGCATCCAAAACACACAGATCGCGCAAGGCTGCACATGCATCTATTCCCCATCTGCCCCGTACGTCCAAAGAAATGCTTTTGAATCGGATTCCCCAGGCCACAACCACAAGATGGGACGGCTTGTTCTTCTTCCGCGCAAGGATGCGGGTCTATTTTAGATTGTGCTGCTCGGAACAGGGTTCGGTGGAGAGCGACCGGGCCAAAAAATACTGTGCTTCGAGCAAAAGATCACGGCGCTGCCCAAATACGTGGTCGTATCTGTCATTGTCACACTTCATAAGATAATACAGTACAATATGATGGATAGAGCAAAGACATTTGCCAGGAATGTGGTGGATGCAGATGACGCAGCGCAATACGTGCATGCCATCGTGACAAAAGGTAATTAAATAATGTCACGGCTTTTTTACCATTGTTATGACGAGTATGCCAGCTCAGATGGCATACACATGACGCACATCAATGCGTGTATTATGTCATATAAATAAAATAAACAGAGCAAGGGTTGATAATGCCATACTTCCATCATCGACGTCGGATGCGCCAGTTGAGATTATAATACCGATGACAATGACAATGACGATGACGATGACGATGACAACGTGCCCTGAAAAAACAAATTCGATGACGTCGTGCAGTGTGGGACTTCGATTGCTTGTTGTCTTGCGGTTATCGGTTTATATGAATCAAAGTCAATCCATGATGCACACACGTTACAGAAAGGCCAGAACGGAATTTGCATTTTTTAAGTTTATTGATGAAGTGGACAGGAAGTTTTGACAGAGAACACCACACATTACCCCAAGCTCCGTGAGCCTCGTCATCTGGACTACACCATTTGTCGTTGTTGCGCCAAGACGATTTTGGACTTGTATTTTGTTATTATCTCACGATAGTGGAACCCGATCCCAATGGAGTCGTATGGAAAACAAATATGATTCAAGTGAAGCAATCTCCGCGGTCATCTGTGTTTGAACCCGGATTCGTCGGTACTCGATGGACAGTAAATTGAAAAAGGGTAAACAAATTCTAAAACTCTTTTGCATCGAAGATGCTCAAGTGGACAGAAGAGTGCAAATTTTCGCGGTGTTTGGACATTCGAGGACATCTAGGCTTGCTTTTTCTTTTCTTTTTTTGAAGTTCCTTTCATGGCCAATTTTTTTTTCTATCACCACGTCCTCAAATGTCCAAATACCATGAATGTTTGCACCCACATAACGCATTCGACCATCTTACATGCCAATTTTTTTTTCAATTTGTTGTTCATGCACAGGTGTAGATGCACCTAGGCAACGAATCGCCGCACTCCAATCTCTGCCATTACTTTGTGAGAGTTGCTAAACACACTTCAAAATTCTCAAACAACGATGGAAAAGTGATCGAACCACAACATCTCAAAGTAAGCCTCCTAAATAATATTACTGTTTCATAATATTGACCTATCTGATTCAAGCCCACATAACTAAACAAAACATTACTTAGTTCCGATGGGTTGTTCCATGAGAATTTGAACACACCCGGGGTTATGATATAGTAAATTATGGCAAAATTATTATTTTTAACTCGCAATAACAAACTATACTCGACCAAATAGTATATATTTTCCAGAACCTGCACGAAGGGAAGAAGATCATGGGCAATATGACTAACCCCACACCCATTAATCCATGTGTGTTGATAGAATGCAATTTCCGGTCTTTTCGGTTTGTTCGGTTCAAAGACCAAAATCGGAGAAAGTGAAGCTACAATGTCCCACAAGTCAGTAGGACAA